TCATCGACTTTATTAAACGTGTACCATTTTGTTTCAAAACACGATGGGGCTATAAATATATGTTATCCACATCAAATAATGGTCCCTTGTTCGAAAACAAGTCTTTTCGGAGACGTTACTTACATTTTTAGTACTTTCCCCTATTTACCCTTATTTTCCTCGACTTTCTTAAACATGTACCGTTTTGCTTCAAAACATGATGAGGAGATAAATATATGTTATCGACATCAAGTAATGGTGCCCTATTCCAAAACAAGTCTTTTCGGAGATGTTGCTTACATTTTTCGTACTTGCCCCTATTTACCCTTATTTTCCTCGGCTTCATTAAACGTGTACCATTCTGCTTCAAAACACGATGGGGCGATAAATATATGTTATCCACATCAAATAATGGCAACGTGCTCGAAAACAAGTCTTTCCGGAGATGTTGCTTACTTTTTTCGTACTTGCCTCTATTTACACTGTGTACCATTTTGCTTCAAAACACGATTGGGCGATAAATATGTTATCCACATCAAATAATGGTTCCGTGTTCGAAAACAAGTCTTTCAGGAGACGTTGCTTACATTTTTCGTACTTGTCTCTATTTACCCTTATTTCCTCGACTTTTTTAACTGTGACCATTTTGCTTCAAAACAAAAAGGGGTGATAACTATGTTATCTACATCAAATAATGGTGCTGTGTTCGAAAACAAGTCTTTCCGGAGACGTTGCTTACATATTTCGTACTTGCCCCTATTTACCCTTATTTTCCTCGACTTTCTTAAACGTGGACAGTTTTGCTTCAAAACACGATGAGGCGATAAATATATGTTATCCACATCAAATAATGGTGTAGTGCTCGAAAACAAGTCTTTCCGGAGACGTTGCCTACATTTTTCGTACTTTCCCCTGTTTACCCTTATTTTCTTCGACTTTCTAAAACATCTACCATTTTGCTTCAAAACACCAGGGACGATAAATATATGTTATCTATAACAAATAATAGTGTCGTGTTCGAAAACAAGTATTTCCGGAGACGTTGCTTATATTTTTTGTACTTGTCCCTATTTACCCTTATTTTCCTCGACTATATTAAACGTGTACCATTTTGCTTCAAAACACGATGGGGCGATAAATATATGTTATCCACATCAAATAATGATGTCGTGTTCGAAAACAAGTCTTTCCAGAGATGTTGCTTATATTTTTCGTACTTGCCCCATTTTACCCTTATTTCCCTCGAATTTCTTAAACATGTACCATTTTGCTTCAAAACAGCATGGGGCGATAAATATATGTTATCCACATCAAATAATAGTGTCGTGTTCGAAAACAAGTCTTTCCAGAGACGTTGCATATATTTTTCGTACTTGCCCCTATTTACCTTTATTTTCCTCGACTTTCTTAAACGTGTACCGTTTTGCTTCAAAACACGATGAGGCGATAAATATATGTTATCGACATCAAATAATGGTGCCGTGTTCGAAAACAAGTGTTTCCGGAGATAAGCGTCGATCAACACCTCGCTCGGTGCCAGGCGTCGACGTTGCTTACATTTTTCATAATTGCCCCTGTTTACCCTTATTTTCCTCGACTTTCTTAAACATGTACCATTTTGTTTCAAAACACCATGGAGCGATAAATATATGTTATCCACATCAAATAACAGTGTCGTGTTCCAAAACAAGTCTTTCTAGAGACGTTGCTTATATTTTTTGTACTTGCCCCTATTTACCCTTATTTACCTCGACTTTATTAAACGTGTACCATTTTGCTTCAAAACACGATGCAGCGATAAATGTATGTTATCCACATCAAATAATGGTGTCGTGTTCGAAAACAAGTCTTTCCGGAGACGTTGCTGATATTTTTCGTACTTGCCCCTATTTACCCTTATTTTTATCGAATTTAAAACGTGTACTATTTTGCTTCAAAACACGATGGGGCGATAAATATATGTTATCCACATCAAATAATGGTGCCATGTTCGAAAACAAGTCTTTCCGTAGACGTTGCTTACATTTTTCGTACTTGTCCCCATTTATCCATATTTTCCTCGACTTTCTTAAACATGTTTTTGCTTCAAATCACGATGGGGCGATAAATTTATGTTATCCACATCAAATAATGGTGTCGTGTTCGAAGACAAGTCTTTCCGGAGTCGTTGCTTATATTTTTCGTACTTGCCCCTATTTACCCTTTTTTTATCGACTTTATTAAACGTGTACCATTTTACTTCAAAACACGATGGGGCGATAAATATATATTATTTACATCAAATAATAGTTCCGTGTTCGAAAACAAGTCTTTCTGGAGACGTTGCTTACATTTTTTGTACTTGCCCCTATTTACCCTTATTTTCCTCGACTTTCTTAAACGTGTACCGTTTTGCTTCAAAACACGATGGGGTGATAAAAATATGTTATCCACATCAAATAATGGTGTCGTGTTCGAAAACAAGTCTTTCCGGAGACGTTGCTTATAGTTTTCGTACTTGCCTCTATTTACCCTTATTTTCCTCGACTTTTTTAACTGTGTACCATTTTGCTTCAAAACACAATGGGGCGATAAATATGTTATTTACATCAAATAATGGTGCCGTGTTCGAAAACAAGTCTTTCCGGAGTCGTTGCTTACATTTTTCGTACTTGCCTCTAGTTACCCTTATTTTTCTCGACCTTTTTAACTGTGTACCATTTTGCTTCAAAACACAATGGGGCAATAAATATGTTATCCACATCAAATAATGGTGCCGTGTTCGAAAACAAGTCTTTCCGGAGACGTTGCTTACATTTTTCGTACTTGCCCCTATTTACCCTTATTTTCCTCGACTTTCATAACGTGTACCGTTTTGCTTCAAAACACGATGGGGCGACAAAAATATGTTATCCACATCAAATAATGGTGTCGTGTTCGAAAAGAAGTCTTTCCGGAGACGTTGCTTACAATTTTCGTACTTGCCTCTATTTACCCTTATTTTCTTTGACTTTCTTAAACATCTACCATTTTGCTTCAAAACACCATGGGGCGATAAATATATGTTATCCATATCAAATAATAGTGTCGTGTTCGAAAACAAGTATTTCCGGAGACACTGCTTATATTTTTCGTACTTGCCCCTATTTACCATTATTTTCCTCGACTTTATTAAACGTGTACTATTTTGCTTCAAAACACGATGGGGCGATAAATATATGTTATCCACATCAAATAATAATGTCGTGTTCGAAAACAAGTCTTTGTAGAGACGTTTCTTATATTTTTCGTACTTGCCCCTGTTTACCCTTATTTTCCTCGACTTTTTTAAACATGTACCGTTTTTAGGGATGAAAACGGGACGGGAAAATCCCGTACCGTCCCGCAACCGTTCCCATATTTGATCCGCTCGTTTCCGTATTTTTGGTTTTTTTTCGGGAACGGGACGGATAAAAACGGTAACGGGACGGATAAAAACGGTAACGGGACGAAAACGGTTTGAGGTGTTTCCCGCCCGTTTTTCCGGTTTCCCGTTTTTTAGCGGGAATATCCCGTTTTTATCCCGTTTAGAATTCCCGGGATACTGACTGACAAAGGAACTCGCATCTCGGCCCAAGTCAGCCGAAGGCCCAAGTTAGACAAACACTCCTACTGCAACTCTAAATCCTTTGGGATCCTTCAGGCAATCAGGCCCAAGTTAAACCTAAAAGGCTAAAAGCTCATCTATCTCTTATTCTCTCCGACCTTCAACCGCGACCTCCAACCGCGACCTCCAACCGCCACGCCGCCACCTTCAACCTCCGACCTCCAACCGCGACCCTTTATTTTCTACCCCGAATCAGCGTGCCTTATTGATTTTTCGCATTGAATCAGAGGCGGCCCACACAAATCGTCGTTGTAATAAGACGCACTCGCCACGAATTTTGAGAAATCCGGGTGAAGGTCTCCTGCTCTCCGAGGTAAATCAAAGGATCTTTCATTTTGAAAAATAAAAAATAAAAATTATTTCAGTTGTCGGGGTTTAATCTTTCCGCTTCTTTGGATCTTGCCCACCTTTCCGTTTTCTGCCTTTTTTTTTTTGTTTCTAAGTTGAGTGGTGTTGGTGATTCTGATTCAGATGCCATTTTCATTTTTTTGCAGTAAGAAGTAGTTGTTACTTGCATATTAGTTTAAATTTCTAGTTATGCTTTTGATAACTTTGATCTTTGTTTGGTGTACTTCTCTGTAGTGGTGATTCGAGCTGTTTGTTTCTAATCTTTGTATGAATTTGCGATTG